CGAAACGAACTATAAATTTCTAGCTTGGTGGATTCAGTAGAATTTTAATCAAATTGAATAATGATCACCAGAATGAAGTTAAACTGTATCATCCATCCCATACATCACCCATCCGCCCCGTCAAAGCCAAAAGCCCAAAACGAATAACATAAAATATAAATAGCGCACCACCCACCCCCATATATACACACAAGCCTAACTCGTTCGCCTATCACCCCCAAAACTCTAAATCTTAACCCTAACCAACCCAGACCAACAACCCCAAGCAACCCTAACCCCATTCAAAAATCCATACATAAGATCCTACGAGAATATCAGCGTATATCCAACCACAATGTTCCAAATGACTTTTTGATCATTTTGTTGCATGTCTGTTGACGAACCATAAACTTTAGCTCTTACTTTTTCTTTTCCTTTCTTGATCATTTTTCATTGATCATTTGAGAGGATTGAGGAGTTGATCTTGGCCTTGATCTCCACATCTTGCAGGTTGAATTTTTCATCTCTAACTCCATTACTGGCTGACACCGTATGGATAGTAACTTTGTTTACGACTTCTAGCTTTCCTTTCCTTTCCTCTCTCATCAAGTTTATATAGATATCTCACTTATTATATACCTATTCTTCTATTCTTACAGATGTAAGTTATATCAAAAACTGTGCAATTTTCCAAGCAGGCCCAATCTCTGAAACCTTCCAGGTTCTCTATTGAAGAATTAATATATAAATATCTAATTTATAAAGTATAAAATTAATCAAATTTAAATTAAAAAAGATTAAAGATATAAAAATTAAAATAACTATTAATTTATTTTCTTATATTACTTCTCTATATAAAGAAAACTCTTAAATGGAATCTTTAATTTTGAATTGTTATATATTTCTATCAGAGACAGAGGAAGAGATATATAATCAATATCTCAAACCTCTTCTACTGCCTCTATCTCTTTTAGAATCCTCAACATACCCCTCTCATTTTGCCCTCCCACTAACCTTTGTCACCTTCATCTTTCTAAATAACACACAAATAAACAATTACACCCCTCTAAAATCTCCTCTCCTTTCCCTACCTATTTCCTCTCCCTCAACCACCCTCCCATCCTTTCATCTGCCTTTCCTCTGTCGATCAACATATCTCTAATCCCAATAATCTAAGATTCAGAACTCGAATTTAACGTTTATCAGCTAAGATCAAATAGTTATAAATCTATACACAGCCACCACCAGCCGATAAACTAGGCCATCTTCCTGCATTGTACCGCCTCCATCTACTGCTCCTCTCGCGACATATGTAATGGCGTGTCGACAGACTCAAATATAGTAAGTCCCCTCGAACCACGTAAGTGCCCACCGCCTGAGGACCCGGCGTCAGGGAAGTCCAAAAGGGCGGATTGCAGGGTAGAGGTA